GTGTGAGAGAGAGAGAGAGAGAGAGAGAGAGAGAGAGAGAGAGATCAAAGAGCACTAGTAGGCTATGCATCCTGCAAAATATACATGTAGGCACATGCCTATTATAATAGTCTATATATAATACATATAATTGTAGTTTCCATAAAAACACATTCTAATATGTGAGGCAGTGTGGTGGAATCAGGCTCTCGTAAAAATAACCCAAGTGAAGAAACGCGCATTTTTCCGCGGGTTTGTTAATTTTTATCAAATTTATGTTTTTTGGCCCAACACCTTTCATGCCCATTAAAGAACTCATTTTTGTGTGGATTTTTCTGGAAAAAACGTTAATTAAAGGCACACAAAATGAAAATTTTCACTTACCACGGACTCTTAAACTAAGCAAATAACTAAAATCTTTGGCGGCCATTTTCTCACTAATTTTACCTATGAAAACAGATGACCCCCCACCTCCTTCTTTCGCAAATATCTCGACTTGTATTCAAGATAAATGGACATTTGTTTTCATTCAAATAAAGACAAGCGAGCAAGCTTTAAGATGATACCAATAACTCTACGATGCCCAAAAATTGACGAGAGCCTGATTCCACCAAATGTCTCAATATATGTAGCCTAGAGATAAAATGAGATTCTAGTTCGGCTATGAATAATATTATAATGTATAACACCTGATGTAAGTCCAACATGATAGTACCGGCATGTGTTTAAACGTTTTATTACTCTTATTCTTATAGACTATAGAAAGGCCTATATTTAGGCAATTATTATACACATTCAGGATCTTTAAAATGAAGTGCACTTTTCTGTTCAGAACAACACACACGCACCAATAATATTACATTAGAACGTAATCAATTATCACTATATAGGGTCGAATACATGTAGGGCCTCATGTGTATTGGGCTAGGTAGGCCGTTTTGTGCTTATGATCTTACTTTTCAGCACTGTCTATAAAATAATACATTGTAATAGAATAATTATGTGGGCATGTGGGTGGCGAGCTGTTTCGGTTGACACATTGTGTTATCATAGCCTTGGCTATAGATCTAAAACGTACGACCAGTTTCAGTTTCGGTTATTACTTCGAGGTTATGAAATTATGTCTCTGACCAAGACCTATATATATACAGGTCTACAAACTACGAGGCTCGAGGCTCAAGATTTAGTCGTGGTCAGAATCCGGATTATCTACCTGGACAACCGGATAATTCTCAATGAAACGTTTTGGGGATTCGGACTCGACTGACTAGCTCTTTCCTGATTCGTTTGTCGAAGTGGTTCTAATTCTTATACGGTATATACCCATTTGCCGAAGCGGTCCATAATATCCTTGCCGAAGAGGATCAGACAAGGAGCTTAAAACAACTGTAGCTCCTTTGGGATCAGATTGTCTTTTATTATAACCTGTTTGCACAAAAGGATCATAACCCGTTTGGGAAATGCTGTTTCCCTTATTAATTTTTTTTAGTTATTCGACTTTTTATTCACTGAGCCTTCAGACCTTAATTGGTATTGGTGCCAGATAAGTTTTTGTTAGTTGACCTCTGTCTTTGGGTTAAAGGGGAGTACACAATGTAGTTATTCGTCGTGGTCTGACGTGACAAACTGTGGCATACGGGAGGGTTTCTAGGTCAGGCCAGAGGAGAGGTCATACACTGGGCCGAGCAGATGATAGGTGTAGCCTAGTGATGAAATTAATCACACGTGTTGGGAACATTTCTCGGTTTGGCGGCACTTGTAAAGTCTGCGGCTCACAGTTTTTAACTTTGAAGGACGGGGATGGAGCGATATTTACAAAAGCAGTTTGTAAAAAAAAACAAGAAAAGAAAAAAACAACAACCCAGCAAGTAGAATTTAGAATAATCTTTATGCATCTGATATGCGGAACTTAACAACTAGAACGTCTTTGCTGCCTGCAGTTTGTGCCAACGCACGTTATATTATGAGAAAGAAAGATGGGGGATTAAAATAAAAAGAAAAGAAAAACAAATTC